CACTCAGTTCACTTGGGTGAGTTATGATCTAAATTGAAAATAAGTCCTTTCTAGTCTATGGCCATGCTACCTCGAACAAACCCAATACCGTCTGATCTCCGAAGCTAAGCAGGGTCGGGCCTGATTAGTACTTGGATGGGAGACCATCTAGGAAGACCCAGTGCTGTAGGCGTGAAAAATAAAAAATAAGGGATTTTAAGCTGCCAGGGCCTTTGCAATCTGTGAGGTCAGCCAAGGGTTGCCTTGCCTTAAAAAAAAAAAGCCCTTTTTCCACCAACACATTTTCTTTTAGGAAATACTGCATGAATGACTACTTTGTAACAGGCACTGGGCATAATGCTGGGTATAGAGTGATGAGGAAGTAAGATGTCGTCCCTGCTCACAGTGTGATGGAAATGTGTGTGTGTCCAGGCTGGCACTGTAATTTCACAGCTGAAAATGACATTTCATCTTGATTGCATCTGCTTATTGATGTGAGAGCAGGCTCTCATAGTAGAGATGTGTTATAGCTATCCTTAATTCGTTATAACTTAAGTTTGTGAGAACTAAATGTTAATGTTTAAAAGCATCTTTTAAAAATTGCCTGGCACAGTGCTGGGTGAGACCGCTGCTGCTAACGACGACAATGTCAGATTCAGCATTGAGACTACAAGGGAAGTTCTTTCTAAAAATGTTTAAAGCACCCTGGAAATGGTATATTTTAGTTAGTTTAGAGCTGCTTCATTTATACCTAGAATTTGGCTTCTGGAATTAATTTTTTAAGTTTTGGCAACCCTTGTTTTGTTCCCCTTTCAAGAATGGCAGAGCGATTAGTTATGTAGTTATCCACTTACTGTAAAGGCATTGGGGATAGGCAAGTGTGGCCAAAGAATTCTTACTCGAAGGCTTATAATCAAAGGCTTCTTTCTTACTGTGAGGCTTGATTAAGGGTTTACAAGGTGATAGTGTGATAAAATATAAATGTTATTTTTAACTATCTTTAAGGAAATTTTTTTATTGTTAATAGGCAAGGTGAAAACGGTCTTCAACAATATGAGCCATATTTTGAATTCTTGATAAAGGAGGAGAGACTATTCAGATTAGGTAGAAGATATGAATGAGGAGAAAGGAAGAGTAAGGATAATGAATGGAATAAATGAAAAGGCTAAAAAAAGTGTTAGAGGGAAAGAAAAGTTCATTGGAAGAGGAAGGGTTGTGGTACCAAAAGAGTCTGAGGATAATTGACTGGGAGGAATGGAGAATAACAGGAGAGATGATGGAAAGTGGTGGCTCAGCTTGTAGAAAAAGAGAGATTAGCCATTATTGCCCATAATTAATAGAACTTCTGATTAGATTAGTAGTCAGAGGAACCCAAGGGGACGTTAGCCAGGTCGGCTATGTTAGTTTACCAGCCCCGATCTAAAACCAGAGGATTACCAGATGTCCATATAACCACTTCTTTAAGCATTTAAAGGCCTTCTGGATAGTGCTCTCTATGCTTGCAAGTTCAAGTGTGGAATAATAACAGCTTGATCTAAAAAGCAGCTCTGGTTTTAGAGTACAAAGACCTGGATTCTAATCTCTGCTGTCTCATTAACTACTTGTGTAACCTTGGACAAATCTTATGTCTCTGATACAATATATACACTTTTTGGAAAAATATATACACTTTTTACCATTTTTAAAAATATGATTGGTATCTGTTATGGTAAATTATGGTGTTCAGTTCTCACGTTAGATGTTTGTCTTCGAATCACAGGTACCCTCTCACCAATTATACTTTTGGTACAAAAGAGCCCCTTTATGAGAAGGACAGCTCTGTTGCAGCCAGATTTCAGCGCATGAGGGAGGAATTTGATAAAATTGGAATGAGGAGGACTGTGGAAGGGGTTCTGATTGTACACGAGCACCGGCTACCCCATGTGCTTCTGCTACAGCTGGGAACAACTTTCTTCAAATTGTAAGTGTCATTGGAAATTAACAAGATAGCTTTTAATAGGATTGCTGTTTTATGGAGTTTTGGAATATAGTTTTTGCCAGTTAGTTGTTTACCTCAACAAACACAGTTGTTAATGGAGTCTTTAGAAAGAGAAAAATCACAAGGTATTTTTCTCCAGTGTAGTGCTCATTTATTGCCTTAGTAGAAATCTGCGTGTTACTGTACATTATCGACGCTAATGACAGAGCTTGATAGGAGCCTTGTTAAACAAATTAGTCCAAGTTCAGTTACTAGATGTCATTGTAGTATTACTAAGAACATTCGATATTATTTCTTAGGATAAGTAGTGTTTCCTATTCTTAAAATGACTTAGTCCACAACTGACCGGATTGTACCAAAAGAGAGGTCTCAAATGTTGAGGTTGGAGTTCTGAAAAAATGCCCTATTCTACAAACATGAAGAGTGTGGTTCATTGCTCTCTGGACATTTCTAGATTCCCATTATCACCAGATAGCTTCCAGGGAAAACAGACTGGAATGGACTGGTGGCCAGCAGTTGTGCAATGTTTATGTTACAGTGTTTAAAATTAGGGTTTGTGTACCATTACTTTGGGTAATTAACATTATGAATTCAGCTTTCTGTTTCTAGCACATTCTTCCTCCTCCCTTTGACATGTTTTGATTGCCTTATGTGAAACCTGTAATGTGTTATTCATTTACTTGATAGAAATAACTACTGTCTTCTTCCTGTTATCCCCAAATTGTATTAAGTCAAAAGCTGAAATTCTTAACCTTTATGCAGACCTGGTGGTGAACTTAACCCAGGAGAAGATGAAGTTGAAGGACTAAAACGCTTAATGACAGAGGTATTTTTCTGTTTAACCACTTTGATAGTTTTATTATTGTCCATCTAAATACCATCAACTTAATTGATAATTAGGCTTTTTATGTTTTATAAAAGGATGTTTATTTTGAATATTTACTTCACAATAAATAAAACTCGAAGCCCAGAGTGTTAATATATGTTTATTTTCTGCAAATTGAACTTCCGCTTGCTTTATCTTAACTTTTTTTCATTGAAATGTTGACATAACAATAATGGTTAAGAAATGCCAACATTAGGTACTTACTGTGCTAGTCACTAAATGTTTTACCTGCAGTAACTCCTTTAATCATCACAACAGCCCTAGGAAGTAGGTATTATTATTAATCCCATTTTACTGATAAAGAAACCGGGCACAGAGTGTTGATTTGCTTGATGTTATATAGCTAGTATGTCGTGGAGCTGGAGATTCGAATGCAGGTAGTTTTGTTCCAGAGTAGGCCTCTACCTCTATAGAATTTTGACAAGAGAATGATCCTGTTAGATACCTATTTTCATTTCTGCACATAATCTTTTAGGCTTTGCCCAAGTTGTACTACTTTTTAAAAGTCATTCTCATGTCTGCCTCTGAAGATTGGGGGCCAAATGTATAGATGCTGGAAATTTTTGAGATTATAGGTTGTTTTTGTTATTAAATATTTTTCCTTTTTAGCATACAATCTGCTCCCCCCACTCCACCCCCACAATTACAACTGTGCAAAAACCTTGGCAAATACAGAAAAGTACAAACTAAAATTACCTGTAATTCTACCACTTGACCTATTTGTTTTGTCTTCCTAGTAATATTTAAAAATGCATTATAACTCAAATATTGTGCTGTTCTCGAGCATCCATTTACATATGGTAGATCGAACCTACTTCCTTGGCTCAGCTCCTTCTCAAAACTCCACCAAAAAGGCAGTAAAGGGGTTTTAAAAAGATATAAATCCAGTAAGATTGAGGGAGGTGCAAGACGAGACAATAGCAAAAAATTTTTAGAAGCTGGAAAACAGGCAGATTATAACTGACTTAGCAGATACAGAGACCTCAGCCCAGCAGGCAGACAGTTCAGGACCCAGCACTGCAGAACACCAGAAAGGCTAGGGAATTGGAGGTGCCTGATACCTATGAAGGTGGGGCCGTGCATGGACTGAAAACTGGGTTGATCAACAGTCTGTATAGGCTGCATTATACCCAGACTGTCTTACCTACTCTGTACAATTAGGCAAAGTGTAGCTGGTGATCGATTCTTGGTAGAGATTGAATCGGAAGACATTAAAGAATGAAAAAGTTGAGGTGGGGAGAATAATTGAAAGTTTACATCCTGAATGATGAGACTTCTAGACTTCTACTAGGCTGATAGTGTCAACAACTAGTTTTACCCCAGGTTGCAGGTTGGAGGTTTTGTTTCTGGAGAAATTGACAAAAAAACCAAAGCAAACAAACTCCAAAGAAGAAAAAGAGCAAAAGGAACTCAAACAGAAAATTCAGTGATCAACAAAATCATGATTAATATTCTTGGTGTGGTAAAAGGAGATATTGCCTCTATGGAACAATGTGCCATTAAAAGAGACTGTTAAGCTGACAAAAAAAAAGAACATAGGCGTATTAGTTAGCGGAATGAAAAATTCAGTGGAGAGTTAAAAGATTGAGTTGAGGAAATCTACCAGAAAATAGAACAAAAAGATTGAACATAGGTAAGAAAAGATAAAATTAGATCATTCTAGAAGGAACAGTATAAACTACAGTCGACCCTTGAACAACGTGGCTGTTAGGGGTGCCAACTCCCCTCACAGTCATATCTGCTTATAACTTCTGACTCTCTGAAAACTTAACTACTAATAGCCTACTGTTGACCAGAAGCCTTATTGATAACATAAACAGTCAGCACATATTTTGTATGTTATATGTATTATGTACTGTATTCTTACAATAAAGTAAGCTAGAGAAAAAATGTTATTAAGAAAACATTTAAGAAAAAATGTTATTAAGAATCATAAGGGAGAGAAAATACATTTATAGCATTGTATGTATTGAAAAACTACACATATAAGTGGACCTGGAGCAGTTTAAACCTGTTTTGTTCAGAGGTCAACTGTATAGATAAATAGAACAGAGGAAAAGGAAGAATTTGCAAAGTAATAATTGAAGAAAATTTCCCAAACTCAAAGACCATAAGTGTGCAGATTGAAAAGAACTACTGGCCTGCTCTCTGTAACGGATGTTAAAAGATCCACGCAAAGGCATATCATTATGAGATTTTAAATCAATCAGGATAAACAGAAAATCCTAAAAGCTTCCAGAGTTAGCAGGCGGGGAAGGGAGACCTCGGATAAATACAAAGCATCAAAATCAGAAATGGCATCAAATTCCCAAAAATAATACTGGAAGCCAAAAGATCATTCCTTTGTAAACATTCCTTTGTAAATCTTAGAAAACATGATTTCTGTCCTTGATTTTTTTTTTTGTCTAATCAAACTAAATCGTGTGCACGTAAAATAAAGTTATTTTCCCAAATGTGATATCTCTTGTACCTTTTCTCAGGAAAGCTATTAGAGGATGTTCACCACCAAAGTGAGAAAATAAACTAAGAAGATAAAGAATTCAGAATATAGAGGATCTGACAACACAGGAGGGAGGCAGAGGGAAGCCCTAGGACTCCAGCCGTGAACATCTACAGATGGAGCAGGATGACAGAAAAATGTCTCCTAGGAAAAATGAAATTGATAGAATAATCGATGTTTGAATTGAGAAGAAATTTAAGCTCTGTGGAAAATGCAGGGATGAATTAGTGATAGCAAATGAAATGAAAGTTATTAACTCCAGAAAAAGAGATAGTTGTAGAAAGAAGTGTGATAATAGTTACTAAATGCTCTGTTGTGTCTGATTCACCTAGTTATTAATTTAAATACTGATTATCGACAAACATTTATAATGGGAGGATAGTGGAAGAGAAAATATGAATGGGAGGTGTGGTTTTAAGGTAAATTCTCATCCACGGTAGAGGGTGTTAATCAGTGGGGTTGTTTTTTAGGTTTTAAAAATTAAAGTAATCAAGAAATGGTCATAAAAATGTGTTAAAAATGTACTTTTATAGTGGAGAAATCTGCAAACACTACCTCAGCCAGGTGATCAAGGTTAACATCAGTGATATCATGTTGATAGAATGTACTCTTGATGTGATGGGATGAGAAAGGCACATTACCTCTGCAATCTCTCCCCAGTCTCCCCAAAATCCATAACCCCAGTCCAATTGAGGGACATTCTGCAAAATACCTAACCAGTACTCCTCAGAACTGTCCGGATCATCAAAAACCGACAGCTAAATATAATGTGATATCCTAGACAGGTTCCTGGAACTGAAAAAGGATGATAAAAACTAAGGATATCTGAATAAACTGTGGACTTAATAAATATCAGAGGACATACAGGCAGCCAGTAGACATATAAAAAGATGCCCAATGTCACTAGTCATCAGAAGAACGAAAATTAAAACCACAATGAAGTATCACCTCACACCTGTCAGAATGGCTGTCACTAAACCAGCAAACAATAGGTGTTGGTGAAGATGTGGAGAAAAGGGAACCCTCCTGCACTATTGGGGTTGCAAATTGGTGCAGCCACTATGGAAAACAGTATGGCGGTTCCTCACAAAGTTAAAAATAGAACGACAACATGACCCTGCAATTCCACTTCTGGGTATTTCTTCGAAGAAATCCAAAACATTAAAAAGATATATGCACCCCTATATTCATTGCAGTGTTATTAACAATAGCCAAGATAAGTGCCCATTAATAGAGGATTGGATAAAGAAGTGGTGCATATATACAATGAAATATTGCTCCACTATTAAAAAGAATGAAATCTTACCATTTGTGACAGACAAATGGATGGACCAAGAAGGCATCATGCTAAGTGAAATAAGTCAGACAAATACCATATGATTTCGCTTACATGTGGAATCTAAACAACGAAATAAATGAACAAACTGAGGGTTGCAAGATGGGAGGGAGGTTGGGGGTTGGGTGAAAAAGGTAAAGGAATGAAGAAGTACAAACTGGTAGTTACAAAATAGTCATGGTGTTGTAGAGTACAGCATAGGGAGTATAGTCAATAATATTGTAATAACTGCATGATGCCAGATGGGTACTGGACTAATCAGGGGGATCACTTTGTATATTACGTAAATGTCTAACCACTTTGCTGGACACCTGAAAATAATATTGAATGACAGCTGTAATTGAAAAATAAAAATTAAAAAAAATAAGATATGAATATTCATTAGTTATGACAAATGTAATATACTAATTTAAGATTATACAATGGGGAAACTGGGTGTGGGATATATGGGAAGTCTCTGTACCATCTTTGCAACATCTCTGTAAATCTTAAATAGTTCATTTAAAGACAAGAATGCTTTTAAAAATAGAGGCAAATATCAGGGGCGAGGGGAATAGATAAGAGTTGAAAGTTATAGCCAGTGGGAATGGAGGAACTAGATCAGGGAGGGAACTGCTCTTTCTTGTTATTAACCTTGTTGAACCATTTTTGACTAAAATGTAGAGTATAGCTTTTATTAAAGCAAGTTTAATGTTATGCTATACAGAATCATAAAAAGAAAAATGTGAATTTTGCACACTTATTTCTATAACTTGGCCAGGTGAGTGACATACAAAAGCTACGATTGATTGTAGAAAAGCTATTGTCTGCCATCGGCCTATATTAGTAATTGATGACCTTTTTTTTCATGTATAGTCAGAGCATATAACAGCATATTCTTTGGTCCTCTATGGTTATGTTGATGCTAGGTTGCCAGTTTTTAACTAATAGTGTATGTCTTGGGCAGAGTGACACACATAATAATAATAAATTATAGAAGGAAAATTCACATGGAAGGCATGTTAGCCGTGTCTCTATTAGCAGTGCTGCCAAAAAAATTCTTTTTGTCGAAGAAGGGTTTTCACAGGTATGTGTATTTAGTGGTTTACTGGCTCTATCACTTGTTTTTGACAGATACTGGGTCGTCAAGATGGAGTCCTGCAAGACTGGGTCATTGATGACTGCATTGGTAACTGGTGGAGACCAAACTTTGAACCTCCTCAGGTTAGCGTTCAGTTATATTTACTGCGCATTTGGGAAAGTAGGAAAGTGATTTAATTCCAGCCATTTAAAAAGATCATAGTAGAATTTGACTTAAAATTTCCTTGTTAGTAGAATTTGACTTAAAATTACCTTCCTTAATTTAGATAAAAAATTAAAAAGCCAAGCATTTTTTCTCTTAAAGGAAAATTCCAAACATATACAAAAGGAGAGAGAATAGTAACCTGTCATCCGCTTTCAGCAGTTAGCAACTCATGGTCAAATTTCAGCAGCCTCTTCCCTGCACTGCCCCATCTCACCGCCCTCAACTTAGATTATTTTGAAACAAATTTTAGGTATAATTTTAATCATAAATATTCCAGTGTGCATCTCTAAATGATAAGGCTTTTTAAAAAATATAACCACAGTACTGCCATATCATACTAAGAATAAGAACTAATTTCATAATATCATTAAATACGTGGTACTGTTTACATATTCTGGATAGTTTCAAATTTTATTGTTATTTTGTTTTTATAATTTGTTTGAACTAGGATAGTTACTTAAGTGTCTTTTATATCTACAGGTTGGTTCCCGGTCTTTTTTTTCCTTGTGATTTGTTAGGCTGCTTAAAGTCTTTAGTGTTTCCATTGCCGATTACATCTCCGTTGTCATTGAACATGGAGCTGTTCCTTCTTTATGTCCTGTAAATTGGTAGTTGGATCCATAGATGGGATTTGGACTCGGTTTTTTGGGAGAAGGGTACAAGGCTTGTCAGAGATGGTATATTGTTTATCTGTTGCCATATAATATATTGCCCAAAACTTAAAAGCGTAAAACAGCATTTATTATCTTTGTTTCTCAGAGTCAGAGTTCTAGGAGCTGCTTAGCTGAGTGATTCTGGCTCATGGCCCCTTGAGAAGTTCTGGGCGAGTTGTCAGCTGGGATTACATCATTTCAAAGCTGGACTGAGGGTTAAGGATCTGGTGCCAAGCTCACACGTGTGTTTGTTAGCAGACCTCCCAGTTCCTCCTGGCTGTTGGACTAAAGGCTTCAGGTCCTTGCTGGCTGTTGACCTAAGGCCTTCCTCGGTTGCCATGAGAGCTGCATAGGGAAGCTCCCAGAAAGACATCTGGCTTCCCCTAGAGTGTGTGACCCAAGAGATAGAGACAATAACAGAAAGCACCCAAGTTGGAAGCTAGTTTCTTACAGTCTGTTACAACTTAATCTTGGCGGTGACATACTAGCAGTTCTGCTGTAAGCTGTTGGTCACACAAACCCACCTAGTACATTGTGGAAGGGGACCACACAGAAGTGTGGATACCAGGAGACAGGGACCAGTGAGGGTCATCTTGGAGGCTGGCCACCACAGTGGTATTGTGTACATCATCAGGAATTTCATAATGTCTCGTCTCTCTTTGTAATGTTAGCAGCTCATCGATGGTAGTTTCCTGCATCCTTTAATTCATTAGGATTGTGATCTTTATATAAAGAGAAAATTCTCTCGTCAGCTACTTGGTTACCCTGAAGTATAGTTTGTGTAGGAAACAGTAGATGCTTTTCCTCTGCCTACCGCTTTTCAGAAGAATGAATTAACTCCTTAGCATCCTCCAAAGATTTGACTTCATTCAAAAGAGAGGATAAGACAGAGACTTGGGTGCAGACTGTTTGGGGGCTGATGCCAGGAAGGAGCAGAGTCCAGGGAAACAGAGACCAGAGAAGTCAGAAGAGGGAACATAACCGATCTCAGTACAGCAGTGGGGAGCCAGAATGATTTTGCTAAAGACTGGGAGGAACCATGTGGAATGCACCTCGAAATTGTCCATTGGAAGGAGGGGAGGCCAGGGACTCCTGTCCGTCATTTGATGAGGAGTGCGTTAACTCCCTTGCACTTTCACGTTGAGTCCAAGTATGGGCTGAGACTTTCCAGGCTCTGGAAATACTTCGAGGCTGAAAAACAGAGCGGGATAGTGGCAGCAAACAGAGCTTTCTGACATTTTCAAACACAGCTGCCCTGGAATCTGAGGTGCCATGAGAAACTGTGATGAGAGGTACAAAAAGCATCAGTTTCAGTGACCTTTAAAAGTGTCATACAACCTCATGGAGTTTCATATTTCATGTATTTATTCCATTGTAATGATCGATAATGTTACTGGTGTGTAGGTTTTTCTATGTTTGGCTAATGGGAGACTCTTGAAGTTGGAGCCTGCATTCTTTTGACAAAGCTCTATGAGTTCGATAGCTTCTTTGCATGACAAAAATTGCACAGAATATCAGCTAAGCTAAAGATTGTTCTATCCTCTTCCTTGTGACTCCCTGCATGGCCGAGAGGCAGGAAGATAAATGCTGAGGAAGCTGGTGTTAGCGCTCACTGCCTGAGAATTGTGTTAGCTTTAGGAAAGTGTAATTTCATCTGGAAGTGGTGAAGTTCCTGGTCCAAAAAGACACAGAACAGCTGCTGTAAACTTTTTTTGAACATTCCTTCATTTAACTGGGAAATGCTCAGCAATGAGATCCCCAGGCTACTTTCTGAATACCCTCATGCCTCTCCCCTCCCATGGTCCTTGGGCGATTCTCTTAATCCACTGAACCCTGGCCTTGGATGGGCTAGTACAAGATGTAAAGGTTGTGTGTTTAGTAAACTTGGTGTCAGTGGGAAAAGAGCATGACGCCATCTGCCTATCTCAGTCTTTTTGTCAAAGTACAGTTGGCTTAAAATAAACACGGAAACGAGGCTGGAGAAGAAAGGCTTAAAAGAAAAGGAACACGTAGCCAGCCACTTTGGTTTGGTCGTGGTTTGGGAACTTATTTTGTTGTATGTGAACCTCAGGTCTCTTAGCCTGTACTATTCAAGCTACTTCTCACATCTTTGTCTATCGCTGCCCGTGTGCCTGGTTCTCATGATGGTGCAGGACACTGCCAAAGCCCGGGACAGTTGTCTGGATTCATCATACCCTATGTAATTATTCTAACTTGAATACTGGTTAGGTGCTATTGGGATAGTATAGTGGGAAATAACATAGGCTTTTATAGTGAGGTAAGGGTTGGACAGATAAAGTTGAATCTGGCCTCACTACTTAGTTGTGTCATCTCCTCGAAGACGCTTAGCCTCTCACTGTAAGTTCCTTACGTAAAATGAGTGTGATATACCTTTGGCAGCCTCTGTTTTCATCCTACTTTCCTCTTATGTCTGTTTTTAACACTTTGTAATTCCTTGCCCTCAAGCACAATTCCAAAAGCAAATTTTTTTTCTGAAAGTATCGTAGGGAGATGTAGGAGACATTTTCATGACATACACACAGAACAAAAAGAAATCTCTATCTTAGACTTTTAAAATTATGTTAAAATTCTTCTTTCTCATATAGCAACATCTTCTCTATAATTCTCTTCATCCCTTTAAATTCTTCAAAATATTTTCTCCATTTTCCCAAGCAGTTTGACTCTCTCCAGTTGGCAGAACTCCACTTATATTGCTCATCCGGTGTTCCTGAAGTGTCTGTGTGTAGCAAGGTGGGGCGGGGCGGGCGGCGTTGCAGGGAGCATCCTGTCAAATACCTCACAGGCCATATTTAACTTTTAATACAAGAAACATGTCCACATCAGGACTCTAGAAAGTTTAACTTAGTAATGATTTTTTTTTTAAATAAAACTTTTTTTTAGAAACACCAATTTCTCAGACTGTAAATCCTGTGTCTACATATTTGTCTTAAATGGTCGAATGGTTTACTACTTGTTATTTTGTATTTATTAAAGCATTTATTTGTTAGTATATCTGTTAGGTACTAAATCCCAATAAAGAGAAGACTAGAAAGAATTCTACTTCCCCAAGAAGTTTGCACTGCATTGGAGAATAAACATATAAAGAAATAGATGAAGACATGGGATATATGTTAAAATAAAATTGTGTTGAGGTTGTGAGGAACTTGTTGGTCTCAGAGGGATGATATTTGGGAGAAGTTGATAAACAGGCATGGAAGTACGAGGGATGTCTTGGTATCAACAAATGAGCCTCTTTTGTTTTTTTCAGTATCCCTATATTCCTGCACATATTACAAAACCTAAAGAACATAAGAAGTTGTTTTTGGTTCAACTTCAAGAGAAAGGTAAGTTATTTTGTTTTTGAAGGCAGCCATCTAAAAACTTTTGTAGAATAATTTCAAGGACACCACTTTGTGTTTTTTCTAAGTTCTTCAAATTTTTGGATTTATTGTAAAACTAAAAAATACATACCATGTTTATACAGAATCACCTAGTTTTTCTCATAGATGTGCCAGTTATGCTACTGGGGGGAAATATGTTTAACTAGAGCATAAAATACCAGATTATAGTGTTTCTAATAACTGTTTAGATGCTGATGTTGATTTTCCACATTGAGGTAAACTGAAAATTGTAGGAGACAGATGAATTGATTTTTTAAAAATATCATCTTTAGGCCTGTTACGTGTTTTAATAAGCAATTATTCTGTTTTTTATAATATTTTTAAAATAGAATCCAAAATAAATTACAAACCTAAGGCTCTTCTCTCCTTTATCCCAGGGCCAGAACTTAAAGATCTTCTTGGTTGCTAGTAGCACAAATCTCTATAGAGTCCGTGTGAAAGCTCTCACTACAAGCTTTGTTTAAAAGACACAACCAAAATTTATTAATGAGAATTATCTTTTTCCTCGACTGTTTCTCAAATGTAAAATTGATGATTATTTTATAAATACAGTGAAAGCAGTGATTACATAAGAAATTATAGAAAATGAATACTGTTTTGTTTTATTTTAGCCTTGTTTGCGGTTCCTAAAAATTACAAGCTGGTAGCGGCACCATTGTTTGAGCTGTATGACAATGCCCCTGGGTACGGACCCATCATTTCTAGTCTCCCTCAGCTTTTGAGCAGGTATGGAAAGTTGAACGTTTTGTGGTTGATTCATCTAAGCTGCCAGATTTTAAAATACTCGGAGCCATTTGAGAAAGGATAGTTTATGAATTTTGTCTTTGAGAAAGTTAAGACAGTAGATGGACCCTGAGGTCATGTGCAAGCCACAGATAAGTATGACTGACGGAAAGTGACCCTGAGTTGCGGGATGACGTTCTGGATCTGTGTAACTGCTTTTCTCCAAATCTGAGGCTCTCTGCAGTTAAATTTGAACTTTTCTTTCAAAGAAGCGATGGTAAAGTAGTAGTCATCAATGTCTAATAAATATGAAGGGAGTTATCTATATGAAAATGTGGAGATTGAATCTCTTGGTGTCATATGTTCTCTCTTTTTTTTGGAACCCACTGTATTTAGGCCCATATTGGGGCATGTGGGATTAAGTCTTGAATTTTTACATGGAGTTAGGTTTTCTTTTTAAGGCAGAGTGATGAGAAGTGCATTCTTTTTTTTAAGCTGACTTGGGCTTGTTGAGGTCTTTAGAGCCAGCTGTAGCTAAGGATCGCAGAACAGCATGGAGCTTGAGAATGCAGTCTGTGGTCAGTGTTTGGGTTTGAACTCCACCTTCGGCACTTGCTGGCAGAGTGACCATGAACAAATGGCGATACCTGTTTGCCTCTTTCTTCTTCTCTAAATGGGGATGGCAGTCCCCGCTTCATAAAATTGTGAGAACCAAGTGAAATAACACACACAAAGTGTTTACAATAGTGCCCGACACCTGGTAAGTGCTTAAAAAGGTTAGTTTAAAAACAATTCCAGCAGTGACTTTGCCTTCTGTGGAAACTTGTTGAGTAAAATTGGTCTTTGTATTTAGTCACACTGATCAGCCTTCATCATCTACTCCTCTCCTTTGGTCTGCTGGTGGTTTACAAGCTGAAGTGTGGGCTATGAAAAAAAAAGTCGTATTAGTCACTTACATTAACACCACCTATTAGGTATCAGGAACTGTGCTGAGTGGTCAGATCCAACGAGGTGTAAAAACTTCTTCCCTCAAGGAACTTATCAGTGGATAATTATCAAATTTAGACTTTTTTTTTATTGTAAGTGTTCAACAACGCTGTTATTTAATGTGTAAGGTGTGACAGGTGAGAGGAAGTAAGTATATCTTGGTGTAGAAAATGCCTGAAATATCGAGGGAAGGTAGAAATGTCCAAATAAGTTTTTTTATCATCTGAGGTAGGAACTGTGGAAATAATACTGTTTTTAATAAAACTGTTGTTCTTTTTAAAATTCAGGTTCAATTTTATATACAACTGAATCCCTGCACAGCGGAGAAGTTAAAGCAGCCGTCTCTGTGAGCACAGCTCTGCACAGTGTAGAGTAAACGTGGTGGAAAAGTGTTTTTGGTTTTATCTCTTTCCCAATTCCTAAATTGCTCCCTGCTTTCTGTTGTTTGAATAGCAAAGTTAATATGAAGAACTAGATAGTGGTGTAAACAAATGTGATAATGTTTAATTTGCTTTTGTTTCTACTCATACGTTTTTATACAACATTAAAGAAGTGGACTTCTATTTGTATTTTTTTTTTTTTTTCACATTAAACTTGTAAAATTCTTATAGGCGAGGATCGTTTTCTTTCTCCCCCTCCTTAGGCTGGTGAATGTTAAGAGACAGTGCAGGTTCAGTCGGGTTTATGGGACCCTTGCTCTGGAGCATTCTCGGGGGCACCGTCCGAGACCACGTTGCAGATCTTTGCGATGAGGATCTTCTGTTACTCTTGGGAACTAGATTTGCTTGAATGAGTCCAAGATGCAACTCCTGTACCAGAGTTTATGCTGCAAGGTGTATTACAGCAGCACGCGCAGCGTGTGACTGACGGTGTGTTTCACACTGGCACAGCCAGGTTTAGTGCACAAGTGTCGGACCTTAAACATGTGGGAAACCATTAAAATTGGCATGGTCGGGGAAGTCATGGGAAATGATGTGAAAAGAGACCGACGTAGAGCTCATTTGGAGTTGTTTTCTTCACGAAATGGGGGTATTATTTGTGCTGCTGTGAAATTATGTCTTAGTTATTCTTAGGGCCATGGTAAAGTTTCTAAACTTTACCTAAAAGTTTTTAAAAGTGGACCCGTTAGGTTTTGAACTCTTGGATTGCAAAGTTAGTTATTTCAATTAACTTGAAGCTATATCCATATCCGTAGAGATGAGAATTTGATTTTATCAAGTAACATAAAGACTTTTCAAAAATCTGAAATCTAAGGACAGGACAGAGAATACATTTTGTCAGCCTAAGGAAAAATACCAAATTTAAAAAACTTTAAAAAATAATGCTAAATTAGTATCAGATTTGGAGAGAGAGAATCTTAGGGCAAGGGAGTTTGCTGGCTATGTCATTGCTAATGGTCAAAGTATATTGTATATGCCTTATTACAGACGTTGACTGTAGGCTTGGTATAAAGGAAATCTTGTAAGACGCAGCTACTTAAAAAGATGGGCATAGTTATGTTTTTAATAGACAGAAATGAGTAGTTCTTACAACTTTATGGTACTGATGGCAGGACTGTTCCCCTGAGTATTGGGTGATGCAAAAAGTATAGCATGTATTTTTCTCTCTTTATACTTAAAATCAGACCAAGAACACCTGAATAATTTTACTTATAAACATTCAGTTCACTTGAGGTCCTGTTAAATCGTCACATGGTTACTTATCAAGTAGCATTTGTAAATGTGTTCACATTTAAGTAGTAGAGGAGCACCAGTCTCTAGGACCGGAAATGACCAGTGATTTCCTTTGTAAGAGCCACTAGTTCTGTGACTCATCCTCTTCCCTCAAAGGCTGACAGCCCCTCTGGTTTATATTAGCATACTTTTAAATTACTAAAATTTTATTGAACTCACTGGTTAGCTGAGTCCTCAAAGATTGAGGAGGTCAGAATTGGAGATGGCTTGATCTAGCTCACCTGCCATGATTGCTTGGGACACCCCAATCAAAGCTACAGAGACCACATTTCAGACATGTTGGCCATTGCCATTTGGGTGGACTTTTTTCTAGGTGTAATTTATAAAGTGCTGTCAGTATAGGAATGTTTTAGTTGAAGAGTTATCTGATTCGAGGCCACTCACATGTTTTGTAACTTCAGCTTTGACCTAGAAATTCTTTCTTGTTCACTACTTTCCAGTGTCATTGCTTGAGTCAATCACCCATGTGCCAGGGCCTAGGTGAGAAAAACCTTTGGTTTAAGCCAGCTGGGTTACTAATGTTGGCATTTAAGAGGTACGGTTTTGAATGTAAAATTCATAACACACAAACACAAATTTTTCAAATTGGTTTTGAACTAGTCAGCCAGTTGTGTCCCAATACTCTTGTGGTTTCCTGAAGGAAATAGCAAACTAGAGAAGGAAGTTTAAATCTGATGTATTTCTATAGCATTAGAAGAGGATACAGGGCACTGATTAACACTAAGGTCTTTTGATAAATAAGTTCTGATCACACTTCTTCAAGAACTAGCAGTCTTGAATCATGCATTCCAGTTCTCTACATACTAAATACTGAATAATTTTTTCAGTGAGCTCTTGAGTAACTGACATTTTTGACTGCCTTCTTGTGTTCCAGGTTTGCTTACACATGAGAGCCCCGTCTTGTATTCTATAACGACAGTATTTGCCAGGTTATTCTCCCTGAGTAATCCAAGTAGTGCACATTCTATGTAAAACTATCAAATGGCACCAGAAAATATTCAACAGATTAAAGGGAAAAAAATGAAAAGTTTTACTTAAGTGTTTTAAATTGTTTTTAACATTGACATCCCTTTGAAGAAAAGTGAAATTCGTTTTTTTCCTGATGAAGAGTTGTGATTTTTTTAAAAAAGTAGATAATACTTAAAATGGCATTATGATAATTCTTCATGTGAATTTGTACTTAACGGGTCTGGATTTTTATTATTGACTTACCTTGAAACCAGTACTGTGTGGTTCAGTTAATTTGGATATTTAAGAATTCCGTTAAGTTAGCATTTTATTTGGATAAAACAACCAAATGAGCCAGTCTGTTTTTTTTCCTTCCACGCTTAATTAAAAGTGAGAGGTAAAAGACCTCTGCATTCTGCAGCCTGGCAAGCAGTCAGCTTCGATTCCCCTTAAATGATGTGACTGTTATGCTCTCAGGTTTTTAGTGACTGTTATTTTAAGTACCTGCTCCGTCACTTGAGGTGAAATGGAGTCGCTTTTCACATTGGAGTTCCTCAAACTTACCATTTTTTCTAGTTCATAGTGTTTGGGACAGTATGTGCCTCTTACTAAGACTGTTTCAGAGAGTGTACAATTCTGTGTTTTGCACAGCCAGAGAAGGTTTAGTGGTTTTTAACTAATACAAGTCAGCTTCCGTAGCATAAGGTTTTATTTCCCACAATTAGTCCACTTGTTTTCTCTCACTTATTATTTGAGTTAAACTGGACTCACTTCAGTTTCCCTTTTGTTTAAATATGTGATGAGAAACAAAATAGGGTAATTTGACTTGAGCCATAAAACTCATTTTAATATTAGCTTGTATTATACTTATCAAGCTTGGTTTTGTGAAAAAAAGGACTAAAACTTAAGTAAGTTTAGACTAAACCAGTTTAGAAGTAATTTGTATTTTAGTGATGGATTGTATTGTAAGACGCGAGGTAACTTGGGAAAACATCGTGCTGCTCAGTTGAAGGAAAGGTCTGTGCATTTAAAAATTTAAACTTTCGGTTACTATGTTCACATCATAGAGTACAAGCATTATTGGTAGTTTGGCTTTGAGAATTTTTCTTGTGTTAAGTTTATAGAAAATGTATAAAAGAAACTGTTTGAAGTTTTGGTTATATTTTTATATTTGTAAACCAAGTCTGATTAAAATGGTCACTGTTCTTTTTTAATTTCATTTTACTGTCATTTCCATTAAAAACATTTAAAACAGAACGACCCTGTGATTGCGTGTGGCTGTTAACCTCAGTATGCCTTCAGAAGTCCTGCACAGTTCTTTTTCGGTGTCAGTGACCAGGGGCTGTTAGGTAAGTGAGAGACGTGGCGTAAGAGCAAGGGCCTGCAGACCCGGGACGTGGACATCGCCCTCCCCCGCACTCCTCCGCTGTGCGTTAGGCGTGTTCTAGGCTGATGCAGTACCTGCAGAGTGAAGGGGCCACTCTGATTTGGAACCTGAGGGTGGTTTTAGAAGTTGCCACACAAATGTGTACCTGTGTGCTGTTATGTCATAGGAGACTTCAGTTTCTCATAAAGAGTGTTGACTCCTATGTTTTTTTTTTTTTTTCAAAACTTGCCTGGAAGTTATGATGTTCTGGGATTCCGTGCCTGCTGCTCATGTGATACTGTGTAAGTCAGTTTCAGCATCTTAAACAGAAACAATTCATTAAAACTATGAGAATATATGTGTAATGGAACCATAGCCCTGATGCTTTATATCTGAACAAAAGTTGAACAAAACGTGATGAAGTTATTGCAGAGTTCTGAAAATTTTACTACTTGTGTGTTTTATAGCAGACACCAAAGAGCTATGAAAAATTATGAAAGAAAAGCTAAAAATTGAAGTATACCAATTAGTTTTTTTCTGTACAGATTTGAGAGGTTGGTTATTTTTCCTGCTCTTCTGGATTTGTAGTCGAACACATCGGTCCCACTCGTGAAGCACCAGAATTCCGTGAGGAGCAAATTTAAGGCTACTGGATTAGGTAATGAAGTTCACTTCCTAGGAAGTTAGTCTTAAACCACAAAACAACTGAGCCTTTCTCACAGGATGGTGAAAATCAAAGTGATGAGTATGAAAGGATTTCAGACATTTAAAAAAATGACAATAGCAATAATGCATGTAGGTGTGAATCTTACTCCACACAAACTGGTTTGTCTGAAATGACACATTTCTTTATTTCCTTTAAATTATACCTAGTCAGCCACCAATTCACAAACATGGCAGGAAATTCAGTCTCGCAGTCATTGGGAGCGGGCGCCCTACCCAAAGTCTCAAAAGAATCAACCCAGAGGCATAAATTGTACTCTGAAATGAAGGTGGGGGTGGGGAGAGCTTGGCTTCCATTGTGTGCTCCACACTTTCTTGTCCAAGTCAAACCAGCCCGGTAAAGTCTGCAGCTGTTGTCTCTCTGCCACACTTGAGACTTAGGACTCAACTGACAATAGGCAGTACCTTATACCGATGGGCCAGCCTTCCCGGGCGCACTTTCATCCCTTTGGTGTCCTGCTTCCTGCCCTGGTCCTCTCATGGAGTAGGATCCAATACAAAGAACCGGAGCATTGGTTGGCTTTAGGAGGTGGGTAATGTTTTTGCAAAAAAAAAGTGCGCAAAAGCCTTGGAGTGGGAGAGGAAAAAAATTTAGAACAAATACTCAATAAAATACCTGGACACAAACCTTTAAAAATTTTTAAATGCAAATAAAAAATAACCTTATATAGTTGGGTTAATTTCACTTATCCTCATATTGAATCTTTAGAAACATTTAAGATTAATCTTCTAAACATTTACGATTAATTGACTATAGTCTTTATGTAGTAGAATCAAATGTAAAGAGTTGCTATTAAACACTTTACAGAGTTATTCCAGAAGGCTAAAATTTTAATACTTAGAAATTAGTAATAATTCAGAGGAGTACAGCACTTTGAAACCCAAGATGATGGAATATTGTAATACGGCAGATCTATCAACAACAGTCCCTTATGATGAAAAGTTTGGTGTGGTATTTTGTTACTTGTGACTTGGATTGAATATAGATCATCTGACAGTGTAATTTAGAAATTACTGTGGCTCAGATAAAGTAGAACAGTTGCTCCCCTGGAAAATTATTTTAAAAAATATTTTACCAATAAAGTTAAAAGTTTAGCATTTTAATCAAATGGTCGTGGGTAGAGAACCAAAGAGAACTGAAGCCCAATATTCATATAGATCTCATAAAAAAGTGTGTGTGTGCGCGCGCGCAGTAACCACTCGCCCCCACCCCCCAAAAAAACTGTTGTGTTTCATTACAGGCCCTTTAATGTTTCTAAAAATTCCAGAACGAATAGCAATATTTTGAGAAAATCTTTTTGTTTTCTAATTAATAGAGTTTTAGTACTAGAATATTAGGCATAAAAGGGAACTGGAGGATGATTTAGCCCTTCCAAAATCTGTAAGATTCAATGAAATACCAAGCACTTCCTGTGGCCCAGGCACTATCAAGGCCTTGGGGATACGATGAGGAATATGACCCCCAAGGTCGTATTGTTTTGGAAGCACTTTTCTTTTATAATGGCTTTATTGAGCTGTAATTCACATATTGATATATCTCACCATATCTCAGTGTGAAATTTAATGATTTTTAGTATATTCAGTTGTGCATCCATCACAATTTTAGAATATTTTCATCACTTCAAAAAGAAATCCATATTTAGCTTTTACCCCCAGTTCCCTCATTACTCTGGTTTCTACAGCTATAGAAGTATTTGCCTATTCTGGACATTTCATATAAATGGAGTCAACGTGTGGCCTTTTGGGTCCGGCGCCTTTCACTTAGCACGTTCTCAGGGTTTGTACAGGTTGGAGCATGAGTCAGTACTTCACTCAGGCTGAATAAAATAATTTTTTATGGCTGAATAAAATTCCATTGTATACCTTATGTATTCATCACTAGGTGGACATTAGTGTTTTATCTACCCTTTGGCTGTTCCAGATAATGCAATCAACAGTCACAAGTTTTGTGTAGAGTATGTTTTCATTTCTTTGGGTATACACCTAGGCATGGAATTGCTATGTCAAATTGTCACTCTTATGTCGAACTTTTTAAGGAACTGACAGACCATTTTCCAAAGTAGCTGTACCGTTTTATATTCCTCCCTGCTGTATGAAAGAACACATTTTTATTTCCAGCTAAATCAGGTTCCTTTTAGACTCCACTCGAGGCTACTAGTATACAACAGAAACTTGAAAACTTCATCAGCGAGAAATCTAAGACTTGATTAATATTCTCTTTTGGAGTCAGGGCCTCTATGATCCCCATTATTCCCATCTCTTTCGGCCATCGGGGAAGCTGCTAGGCTCACAGAGGTGCTCAAGGGTGACTGGCTTAAGGTGGGGGGACGGGGGGTGGGTTAAAGGCAACAGCAGGGCAAGTGGCCCGACTCCCGCGGACGCGGGCCGGGCGGCTTAGGCTCGACCGCCGGTCAGCGC